TTTTCATTTTATTTAAAAATAGCTTGCTGTAAATTTAATGTGTGAGTGTTAAGTAGAGAGTTTAATTGTGTAGCCTTGGAATTGTGACATTTCCACATGGAGGGAGAAGTTGGAGAATAACATTCGTAATTAAAGTGTATTCCACATGCCAGGGAATTTCCTACAGTCACCTCACTTTCTGTACTATCCCATTTTACCAGAAGGAAGCAAAGATCCAAAAAAAGTTAAGTAATTTGCCTTCAAAACCCATAGAGAACATCTACAACAAAACCAAGTGACAAACTATTTCCACAGGCCCCAAAATGTGAGCAGGTGGGGACAGTCACCAACTAAAAAGTCCTCCCAGTATCAGCATCTGTGTCCAAAACCAGGGGGCACCTTGCAGCCTCGAGAGTGGAAGAGGCCTCAGCAGTCAGGGTATGGCCTGAAAGGCGGTGCAGCACAATGGAACAAAAGCACAAACCATCATGGGGGCTGCAGATTCTGATTTTACTAAGAGACTGCAGTTGGCCCTTGGTAAACTCTGGAGGGGCAAGGTGCCTGGACCCCATAAACAGTTGAAAGGTTCCTTCCCGAGCGGAGCTCTATTCTGGGGAAAAGTGCTGAGATTGGAAGCAAATCAAGCAGGATAGAGACACCAAGAGCAAAGGAAAAGAAAGCCCAGACCACAGTGATGGAAAACAGAGGAGGCTCATCTCAGAAAGTACAAGGTCATCTTTTCACTCACTTTGTGGACAACAGAAGTAACAGAAGATGGACCTCTCTGACAGCAAGTTAGATTACTTAGGTAAAATGAGCCAGTTCCTAGAAAAACAGAAACTGCTAAAAGAGACTCAAAAATAAATGGAAAATCAAGTAGACTTACAACAAATAGAGGTTTAATTGGTAATTAAAACTTTTCGGCAAAGAAAAGCCCAGGCCCACATGGCTTAACTTGTAAATTCTACCAAACATTTGAAGAAGAATACCAAACCTTCACAAATTCTTTCAGAAAGAAAGAGAGAGAGAGAGAGAGAGAGAGACAGAGAGAGAGAGAGAAGGAAAGAAAGAAAGAAAGAAAGAAAGAAAGAAAGAAAGAAAGAAAGAAAGAAAGAAGGAAAAAGAAAGGAAGGAAGGAAGGAAGGAAAGAAGGAAGGAAGAAAAAAAAAAAAGAAGAGGAAGAAACACAATCTAACTCATCCCATGAGGTCAGTATCATCCTGACACCAGAACCAGACTGACTTGTAATCAAGGGAAGAGAAAACTACAGGCCAATATCCTCAATGAATATCAATGCAAAATCATCAAAAAAAATACTAGCAAACCAAATCCCGCAACATCGAAAAAAGATGATACGACACAGCCGACTGGGATTTATCTCAAGAATGCAAGGGCGGTTCAATACACAAAAATCAATGTAACACAACACTTCCAAAGAGTACAGGACAAAAACCACGTGGTCATCTCAATAGGCACAGAAAAAGCATTTGAGAAAATCCAACACCCCTTCAGAATAAAGCGCCTAAAAAGCTGGGAATAGAAGAGAACTTCCTCAGCCTGGCAAGGGGCATCTACAGAAAAGTCACAGTTACAGAGAAGAATCTGAGTGCTTTCCCTGTAGCTCAGGGGCAGAAGGAGGAGGTCTGCTCTCCTGTTTCTATTTAATGTTGTAATGGAGGCTCTAGATAAAAGTTAGTACAGAGTAAGAAGAGAATGAAAGACAGAGAGAAAGAAAGGCAAGGTCTCCATGCTGGAAATAAAGAAGTGAAATTATTTCTGTCTGAAATTTCATAAGAACAGTGCAGACCGAGGCAGGGTGGGCACAGTGCAAGTGGAGCAGGGTTGGCCAGGAGCTGGTAATGATGGATGCACTTTTCCTCTGATTTTTTATATGCTTAAAATTTTATGCAACCTTTGGCCAGGTTCAGTGGCTCAGACCTGTAATCCCAGCACTTTGGAAGGCCAAGGCAGATCACCTGAGGTCAGGAGTTCGGGATCAGCCTGGCCAACATGGCAAAACCCTGTCTCTACTAAAAACACAAAAATTAGCCCAGCATGGTGGTGCATAACACCTGTAATCCCAGCTACTTGGGAGACTGAGGCAGGAGAATCACTTGAACCTGGGAGGCAGATATTGCAGTGAGCTGAGATCACGCCATTGCACTCCAGTCTGGGTGACAGAGACTCTGTCTCAAAAAACAAAAACAAAATTTTATGTAACTTTTAAATAAAAGTTAATATTGGAAGATGTTTTTAAAGGAATAATACACATTCTCAGAAAACTCAGAGATTTCTAAATCAAAAGAGAAACCATGCCACCTTTTCCTAGTTCTTTTTTTTTTGTTTTTTGTTTTGTTTTTTTGAGGCAGGTTAGCCCCAGTTCATGACTGCGGTCTAAAACTATTGGTTAATTTTACACAAATCAGAACCCATTAACTTTTCGTTTAATCCAAGTCTATCACAGAATATCTAGTCAAATATTTACTGGTTTTATTTTATTAATAGGGAAAAACCCAACAGTCCGTGCTCATAACCAACAGGTACGTAGAGATGTTTCAACTGTTTTCCCCGTCATTCTTCCTTACGGAACATAAATAATTCACAAATCCCGTCCCTCTCCTCTTCCCCTAATTAACCTGTAATTAACCCAATGAATTCTTTAAGAACTCGGTTCGATGTCACTCTCCTGGGGGTTGGCTTCCCAGCGCTTCCTGGCTGGGTCTCAAGCCTCTGCCACACGAGGAGGTATAGGAAGTTCCGTCACTTTTCCCCAGTGTCTAACTCAGGGGGTTGCCGCATGCTCCTTTGTAAGATCAGGTGGCCGCGGTGGGGCTCCCTTACTGGCCTGTGTCTGTCCTTATTCAGCCAAGGGCTGTTCCTGGCACACACAGGACAGGGGATGAGCCTGGCAGGGCTGAGTGAGAAGATGTGAGAAGGGACAGATAAAGAGACAAACCAACTCACATTGTTACTCGCCAATGCCTTGCCTGTCGTTATTGTACACCACACATATACAAAAAGGAAGTTTCCATGTTTTTCAGTATCTTATTTTTTTTTTTTTTTGAGACGGAGTCTTGCTCTGTCACCCAGGCTGGAGTGCAGTGGCCAGATCTCGGCTCACTGCAAGCTCCGCCTCCCGGGT